ACAAGTAATTTTTCTGTCTTGAGAAGCACCTGGTTGTGAAAATACTTGATCATAGAAGCACCTGTAGACTTTGTGATCTTCATGTGCTCTTTTATCTTGGCTGAATCCTTCTTTATAGTCCGGATCGTAGATTCGTTCGCGCCATGCTGGCGCGCCAAATCAACCTGCCTTGTTCCTTTTCCAACTCTTGGATGATGCTATACTTCACCTCGTAGCTTAAGGAACGCCGTGTCTTCTTTGGTTTAGTGCCGCTGGGTCCAGGTAAGGAAAGGTTTCTCTCTGGGGGTGGTGGTCCGGTGGAAGCCATTTTACGGAACAATGGATGCGTGTTTACACGGAGTGGCCTTGAGGGATGAAACTGCCGCGGCTAGGTCAAGCGTCGTCTTTCCTCCCTCCCTCCCCCGGGTGGACACGTCATAATACTTTAAGCCAATTACAGCTAGCAGCAGAGGGGGGGTAGGGATGCATGGCCAATCACAGGTCTGATACTTCATATGACGTCAGTGATAACGCAACAAAGACACACACTGCGCAACCTTACCGCGCCGCTTGCCCAAGGGGAGGGGGGAGGAGGGAGAGGCAGGCAGGCGGGCGGGCTGCACCTGTAATAGCGCCGCTACCGACACACTCCGCCAGAATAAGGTTCAATACGCATCAAGGTAATGTGAGCACGTGAGGTTCTGGCAAGGCACCGCGTTAACGTGGAAACGCGGAATGCGGGACCGCCAGAAGTGAGGGTTAACTGTATACAGTACCAAAAAATGTGAGGAATAAATAAAAATAATACCAATAAATAAGTTGCAACAAAAAATATTGTACAGTTGAACCTCGATTTACGCGGTTCTCCTTGTTTACGTGTTTGGTCATTTACGCGGTACCTTGCCAGAACCGGGATGCCCGATTTGCTCGGTGAATTTACTCATTTACGCGGGTGAAGTACAATTTGTTTATTTACTGAAGATATCTTGTTTACGTGTTTGGTCAATTACGCGGTACCTTGCCAGAACCGGGATGCCCGATTTGCTCGGTGAATTTACTCATTTACGCGGGTGAAGTACAATTTGTTTATTTACTGAAGATATTTGTTTTAGCCCATAAAATTCATACAAATTACCCGGTCAGAATATAATTTACATTGCTGGAATTCTTATAAGATTGTGATTATTTTAAATATAAACATCATGGAATTTGCATTAGACATACAAATTTTAGATCTAATGTAAGAATTTTGATTACAAAGAGCCAAAATTTTATCTTTTGTGCAAAATATATGACATTTATATTCAAAATATTCCTAGTCTTGCAAGGAATCCAGCAATGTCAATTATATTATCCTAACTTTAGTTTGAGGTATTATTTATTACTAAAAATGTAAATACAGTAGAAGTCCAAAAATCCGGACTGCTTCAGGATTGGGTTGGTCCGGATTTTCCGGATTCTCAGGCAGTATTTGTAAAATTCAAATTTAAGGAGGAATAAAGAAGAGATGAACAGGTACATTTTGATAGTTTATTCATTAGCAAATACAGCATGCTTCATTTATCAAAACAAGCAGTTTTAAAGAAAAAGCTGTGAATTCTAGAATTTTATTCTTCGCCTTTTTTATATCATAAATTGTAGACTTTCCAATGTCATATGTTTCCATTAGAACTGTTGCTCACACCACGTTCTAGTTTCTTAATTATTTCAAGTTTGTCACTCAATTTCAACGTCTTCTTCTTTCTCTTCACACACCGAAGTTTATCTGCTTTAGGAGCCATTATTATGGGCTTGTACAGTACTCTGTAAATGGAAAGAGTAGGACTCAAAATTACATACGTTGTCACACTTTGATTGCTCGTTTTAAAGTGGCGACCGCATGGTCGCTTGTTGTTGCTGTGCAGCTGTGGCGCTCACGCATGCGCACATTCACACAAAAGCCAGCTAAAAAAAAAAAAGTGAGTTTTCGAAAAGTCCGGATTCTCAGGTGGTCCGGATTTTTGGCATCCGGATTTTTGGACTTTTACTGTATACTGATTTAACCCAAACATTTCTCTGGTAGGGAAGGAAGGTGGGGGTTAAGGAGGAAGGGAGAGACCCAGCTAGCGTGGGAAGAGGGGGGGAAGCCGGAAGTGGGGTATTTTGATTGACAGATACCATAGTGTCTGGGTCAAGTATAATTTGTTTATTTACTGAAGATATTTGTTTTAGCTCATAAAATTCATACAAATTACTCGGCCAGAATATAATTTACATTGCTGAAATTCTTATAAGATCGTGATTATTTTAAATACAAACATCATGGAATTTGTATTAGACATACAAATTTTAGATCTAATGTAAGAATTTTGATTACAAAGAGCCAAAATTTTATCTTTCGTGCAAAATATATGACGTTTATATTCAAAATATTCCTAGTCTTGCAAGGAATCCAGCAATGTCAATTATATTATCCTAACTTTCGTCTGAGGTATTATTTATTACTATACCTTAAAATCTAGTGTTTTCACCCAAACATTTTTCAGAGAGGGAGGAGCCAGCGAGCTGGGAAGAGGGGAGGGGGGGAGTTGAGTCCATTATTTGAACGGACATTAACCTGGCGACTGTATTTCTCTTAAATATTAATTGTGTGTGCATACCATCATAAAATTAAGATGTTACTTTTACTACAACGGTAGGTATTGTGTCGGAGAAAGTGGAGTTTGGGAGTCGGCCCAGTCTCTATTTCATATGTTCTGTTATTCCATTTACACGTTTCTCGTTTTACGCGCTACTCCGTGGGTTCAATTGACCGCGTAAATCGGGGGACCACTGTAATCATATTGCCATACCAGTAAATAAAAGCCAAATGAAAGTTTTAACACAGTCGCCATTTGCATACACTCCCTGCTTCCCCGTAGTAACGAAGATCAGCTGTGACGCCAATTCCCTAGCAACACACACACACACACCCCCCCACCATTCTGTGCTCTCCTCTCCTTATCTGTTTGCCCTTAGGAAAGTTATTTCTTTTACTTTTTTTTACAATACAGTAAAACCTCGATTAACCGACTTTTGGATTAACCGTCAATCCCGAACCCCTAAAAAAAAAAAAAAAAAAAAAAATTTATTTTATTTTATTTTTTTTCACGGGGATTAGCCCACCCAGGCACAGGTCACCGACCTACATCGGGGCCTGGGGGCGATAATGTAATAATATTAATGATAATGCTAATAATAATAATAATAATAGTAATAAAGAACCATAAAGAAATGCTAAAATTAAAAAAATCAAGATTGAGAAACAAAGTACCTGTATGTATGTTGTGTTGTCAATAGTAAGAGAAACAATTGAGACCCTGCAATTGTGTGTAAATGAGGCAGAAAGTCAGATCAGCAACCTGGGACTTGGTCACAATTTTTGTAATGACATATGTTTTTTGATTTTTCCATTTTTTATTCACGGTTTCTGTGCTGGTTCATATTTATTTACTAAAGTGGTTAATGTTTTAAAGCAAATTCTATTGAAATTTGAATAGCAAATGAACAAAAATGAATAGAGGGACTTAAATGATGTAGGTTAGGGAAAGGTACTTTGAAAATGTATGTTTTATTTCCGTAGACTTTATGTACCATTAACCGACTTTTTGATTATCCATCGGCCCCTTCCCCCCATATGTGGTCGGTTAATCGAGGTTTTACTGTACTATGTACTGTATGTAGGATGGTGTGTTTGCATGCAATTGAGGAAAAATTTTCAAAAAAATTTACGTATATCGACCCATAAAAACAAGTTGAAATGCAGCCATAACACCTCACAGCTTGACCCAGCAGACGACACAGACTGGGTCCATTTTAGGAGTGGGGGAGTAAACACAGCATACTGATTGAGATAGTGACTGGATAGGAATTTGCCACATCCAAATGTCGGTCTGGACCAACCGAAATCCAGATATGGGAGGTCTGGAAGTGTGAGGGTTTACTGTAATGATGATAGACATGTGGTATACTGTTCAAAGTAGGGGTACAGTATGGTATGTTTAGGTGAAAATGTACAGAGGCTTTTAAGTACAGTGGTCCCTCGATTAATGAACGGCCCAATCAACAAAATTTTGGTTCACGAATTAGCTCCCATAAGGATTTTCAATCCCATTAACGAACAAAACTTCGATTAACGAAAGCCTTACGAGAAACACTCTTTGTTGTGCGCATCAGCTGATCGGCTAGTCCGCCAATACAGTAATTGGTTCTATGTTTACATTTGTTTCCAGTGGAGTAAATATCAAGAAAGTTGTGCTCTTCAATATTTTTGCATTTTTTATATTAAAATTATTGGTCATTCTAATTTAGCTAGCATATTGATAATATATATACAGTACAGGGAACAGTTTTTGTGTGCCCATCAGCTGATTGAATCACCTGCCAACGCTTCTCAGTTTAACTTTGTTTACAGTGTAGTGAACATCCAGTTTGTTGGTATCTTGAATATCTTTGCCGTTTTACATTAAAATTATTGGTCATTCTGAAATTTAGTTCACATATTGAAAATATACAGTGCAGAAATTATTCTGAAACATGAAGAAGGCATTAGAACCAATGCACGCTGTAAAGAATATGGCATGTCATCATCGACTGCCTCTCCAATCAGCTGTTTGATATGTAAACAAAGCTGCCGGGAATACGACATACTGTATTGTACACACCTCAAAGTACGTTAAAATATACCTGTAGTATTCTATTGTCTTTTATTTATTATTATACAGTGTACTGTACAGTACAGTACTGTATTTAGTTTATATTTAATGTTTTGTTAATTCTATTACTGGTACACAGTACTTTGTATGTACTTTTTCTGTGAGTTGGAACCAATTTCTCAATATCCCATTGAAATAATAGATTCATTTAACAAAATCTTCAGTTAACGACCGACTCCGTGGAACCAATTGTGTTCGTTAATCGAGGGACCACTGTATATCATATAAAATAATAAAATTTTGGGTAATTTTTGTTGAATCACTTAAAATGAGTTTAAATTCTTCCAGGGATCGTTTTTTAGACATTGTGGATGGACGGGTTTCTTCTGGCAAAATGTTGAAGATGAAGGATATATCCCTAATGAAATTAAAAGGTGTACCTGGAGAACAAGTCGTCAACAAACTCCAGGACTTTGTATGGGATGAAATCCTCTCGGAACACAGTACACTTCCCCAGGTATGGTCACCTCTTCTGATCAAGTTAGAATTTTCCATGGACAGAAGTACAGTGTCAAGAAAATTAAAATTTATTTTAGTGGACAGTACAGGTACACCACCGATTTTCCGGTACCCTTGGTTCCAAAGCCTTGCCGGATTATCCGTTTTGCCAGACCAAAGGTCAAGTCATGATAATTCAAAAATACACCTCTGACCCACTAATTATACACCTCCTGTGTCTCTAAAGCACCATGGACTGCTAGAAACTTAAATTAACAAATATTAAATGTAAATTAAATGTGAAAAAGCCATAATTTTGAGCAACATTACTGTACACTTTGTACTCAAATGTATTGTACTACACTAGACTAAAATTTTTATCTCTTGTGCAAACTATGTGATGTTTATACTCAAATTAATCACTATCTTACAAGGATTCCAGCAATGATATTTATATTATGCTAAGTCTAATCAGCTACATTTTATAAGATAAAAACTTTAAGCCCAAAACTACCTTCACCCAGGCTGGGAGGGAGGGAGGAAGTTAAGTGCCCCCTCATAATTTTGTCCGGACTAAAGGAGGTGCCGGACCATCAGTTCCCGGAAAATCAGTGGTGTACCTGTACCACACTGCCTTTTTCCTCAGGGTGGAGGTGCTGAGTTGGCCGGAGGTGGTGGGCTGTGGCAAGTATGATCAGCGTGACCTCTCCATCTCATGAGACAATGGGCATTGTGGGTGGTAACGGGACGTTTGCATGTTGCCACGCAGGAGAGGAGAGGTTATCCTGTACAGTAATTCGGAGTTAGTTTGACGTGTTTCTTATTCAAATAGGCCTGCGAAAGTTCAAATAGTCATATGGCGTGACCTGAGTCTCTACAGACACACGTCATATGATGTGACCTGAAGCCCAGGGGTAAATATAAAATTGTAAAACATTTATTAATACTGTATAGTGAACCCTCACTTTACGCGGTTAATTCAACCCACAGGGTACCGCGGAAAGTGAGAAATGCATAAAGTGAACAACATAACATATGAGATTAATTGAAATAGAGACCGGGCCTGAAGGTTACTAGTGTGCCCTGAAGAATGCAGTGATGGCTAGGGAAACACTGAGTAACACTGAGTTCGTTTATTGTGGATGAGAGAAATACAAGCGGTGACCAGCATGTGCCAAGCACAGCTCACACGGTCAGACTGAGGCGCCTTGCCATATGGCAGCCTCGGGGCAATGTTGCCACATAACACGTGCAGTGTTGCCACGTGATAATATATATGAATGCTACTCGGCACAGTAGCTTATGTACAGGGTTGCTACTTGGCACAGTAGCTTATATACATAACCTACAGGGCCGACCCCCAAACTCCACTTTTTCAGACACAATACCTACGTTGTAGTAAAAATAACTTCTTAATTTTATGATGGTATGCACACACAATTAATATTTAAGAGAAATATCAATAATATTAGGTTTTTTAACACTTACATTAGTAGAAAAGATGGCTGGGCACACGGGGATGAGGGGTTGGTTCCGAGGCAGAGGGCAGATTATTGGCCCTCACCTGTATCACTTGTATCAATTGTATCACTATCCACCACAGAGGCTTGCAGGGCCTCTTTGTCAAACCCCTCAAAGTCCATATAAGTCCATATCCTCACTATAATTATCACTATCACTGACTTGGGCCGGCTGTGGTGGGTGGCGGGTGAAGAACTCGGTAATGTTTTGATGACTGGGCTACCTTGTGCGCACCCTGCTCGCGCCGCTTACACAACATGGCGGGAGGTTTGGATCCAAAAATGGCGCGGCTCGCCAGCCGCTCTCCGCGTAAAGGGGTACACGCACTGCGGAATGCTCACATTCCGGTTTCGGCAGGGTACCGCGTAAACGTGGAAACGCGGAATGTGGGACCGCGTAAACGTGGAAACGCGGAATGTGGGACCGCGTAAAGCGAGGGTTGACTGTATATTGTAGTCATGGGTACTTGCCAAAAGAAGAAAAAACTAAACCAGCAACACATCACAACAGCAGTGGGAGACATGATGAGTAAAAAATAGTCACAATAATATTAACAAAATCAATGAATCAACAAGATTGTGTTCACAGTGTAAGCGCGGCAAAATTTGCACTGTACTGAAAACAGTGAGCGCTTGGTGCCGATTGACCATGCGAGTAAAAACAAAGAAAGCAGTTCTTGGCGTGTTGGGAGTGTTCGAACTCGTGACTTTTGACTACTTTTATGGATTCTTTTTTTTCTAGAGCTCCAAAATGTAAGCCAAAGCACTATTAGGAAACAGTGTTCTATGGGGTAGTGCTTATCAGGATAATACTGTATTCTAAACACACCTCAGCAATCCCATAAGTTGGTCTTGTTAATGTCTCCACCACACTGCTGTCTCATTGGATGCCACTGACATTCCCTCAGACTCCCTTTCGTGAACTTTACTCCCTCATTCTGCACATCCATCTCATTCATTGATATTTATCTCCTTTTCAGGTGCTAGATTATGTAGAATGTTTCACTGGTCCCAATATCATGGCCATGCACACTATGCTCATCAACAAGCCTCCAGATCCAGGTAGCAACACTTCACGCCATCCAATCCATCAGGACCTTCATTACTTTCCCTTCAGGTGGGATATTTATTATTTCTTTTATAAATTACAGAATACTGTATATAATATATAATGAATAGTGATTTTTTATCATTGCCTTAATTTTTGGGTATTCAGCTTTATTAACAATTGGCTAGATGACTGGCCAAGAAATTTCAGCTTAGTTGAATCCAGGATCTTTATTAAAATTATAAACATGCAAGAAATTTTTACATTCATTGATATTAGGGGTTCTACTTATTTTGAATCCAAAGTCTAGCTACTATTGGGAGATTGCCTAAGTCCTATTCCCTACTTTTACTCTAAAATTTAAACAAACACAGTACTGCCACATTTCATAAAACCTGGCCAGTCTCTGTAAATGCAGAAGTGAAGGGGATTGTACTTCAGATCTGAGATTATTTGGATGTAAATTCTAAAAAAAAATATATATATTTATATATTAACTATTGACCCTAATTGACCGTAAAATCCTCGAGTCCATTTAAGTTTCCTAAATCACATAAACTGCGGATTTCCCTGAACAAGTTTTTTTTTATTACAGTATATTCTGCATTTACGCGGTCAATTGAACCCGTGGAGGACCGCGTAAAACGAGAAACGCGTAAATGAAATGACAGAACATATGGGATTAATTGAAATAGAGACTTGGCCGACCCCCAAACACCACTTTTTCCGACATAATTACGTACGTTGTAGTAAAAATAGTATCTTAATTTTATGATGGTATGCACACACACATAATATAGAAGAGAAATATTAATAAGAGAATATAATACTGTACCAGGTAAAAGAAAATCAAGGTTTAACACTTACGCTAGTAGAAGAGATGGGTCGGCATACGAGGATGGAGGCTGGTTCCGAGGCAGCGGGCAGATTAGTGGCCCTCAGGTGAATCACCATCACTATCCACCATAGTTGTCAGGGCCTCCCTGACAAACCCCTCAAAGTCACCATCACTGTCACTGGCTTGGGCTGTGGTGGGTTGCGGGCGAAGAAGTCAGTGATGCTACGCTGACGGCTAGTGTTGATGTGGTTGTGATACATCTGGATGTACTGCTCCATACTTTGGTCTAGAAGGTTTTTGAAGACTTCATACTGGTGATTGACATGGTCCTTTGAGAGGGTGAGCTTAAGTTTCTCGGCAAACTCGATGGCATCCTTTACATCACCATGAGTTAACTTCTGTTCTCTTGCTGCCGCACCACCTGCCTCCTCACTGACGTCATCGTCTTCCAACATCTCGTCGGCAGTCACCTCAGGATCCCTGATTACCTCCATGATGTCGTCGTTGGTGGTCTCAGAGAAGCCTGCAGCTGTAACACTCTGTACAGCTTCTCTTGGAAGGTCCACTGCCACTGCAACAGACTGAACCTCACCAGCCACAGGTTGACTCTGTCTCCCACTTGGGATACCCTGCAACACATGCCGCCATGTGTGACAAATTGTTGCCACAGACAGCTGCCTCCATGCCTCCACCAAGAAATCAACAGCTTTCTTTATGTTAAACATTTTCCAAAACTGTTTAACTCACACTTCATGCTCCGCCAACTCTTGTTCTGCATCCTCGTTGTCGTCGCTCTCGCTATCTGTGCCACTTGGTGTTGGTACAGTCGTTCAGGAGCTTAAACTTCTTTGCGGAGAATGCAGCCTTAACGTTGCATATCAACTCCTGGTCCATGGGCTGGATTAACGACGTAGTGTTGGGAGGAAGGAAGACCACTTTTACACTGGAGTGACGATCCAACAGTAGGGGCGAGTGTCCTCGTGCGTTGTCAAGCAGCAACAAAATGTTGAATGGCACATTATTTTGCGCGCAGAATTTCTTCACGTCGGGAACGAAACAGTCGTCAAACCAGGAGAGGGACAGACCAGTGAACATCCATGCCTTGCGTGAGGTTAGCTTGGTAATGTCCATGTTCTTGTAGGCGTGCGGCTTGCGGGCTGTATGGATCACTGACAACTTGAGCTTACATGTACCGGAGGCATTGGTGGTAAGCAGGACGGTGATGCACTCCTTCTGCAATTTCCGGCCTGACACTTGTTGGCAGACTTGACAACGAAGGTCTTGGAAGGTAATTTTTTCCAAAACAGACCGGATTCATCCATGTTGAACACCTGGTCGTCGGTGTACTGTCCTTCCTCCATAACTTCTCGTAAGAATGGAGGAAAATCCATGGCGGCAGCACGGTTAGCACTCGCTCCTTCACCAACAATGTTAATGTTGTAATCTTGTTCCTTTTCTTAAACCCTTGCAGCCACCCAGAGGAAACAGTGAACGGTTTGGGCTCTGCAATTCCCATCTTGCGTGCCACTGATGAGTACAGTTCACGAGCGTAGTCCTGCACTGCCTGCGTGTCGACCACCATGTTCTGTCTTGCCTGACGAATTAAGTAGCTCACCAGTAAGTTCGCAGTCTTGAGCAGCACCTTATTCTGACAATACTTCACCATTGAAGCACCTGCAGACTTTGTGATGCCCATGTGTTCTTTAATCTTGGCGGCATCCTTCTTGATTGTCCGGATCGTAGATTCGTTCACACCATGCTGGTGTGCCAAATCAACTTGTCTCGTTCCTTTCTATAAATCTTGCACGATCTTGTACTTAACTTCGTAACTCAGTGCACGTCGTATCTTCTTGGGCTTGGGGCGGCTTGGTCCCGGTAAATCAAGGTTTTTCTGGGGTGGTGGGGGTCCAGTGGATGCCATTGTTGAACAGATTAGCGGGCATAAGAGGGAACAGTATACGCGGTGACTGAGAACAATGAGACTGATGCGGCTGGGTCATTAGCTTCCCTCCCGTGCCAGGCCACGTCATATAACATTAGACCAATCACAGCTAGCGGCGGAGGGAGGTAAGGATGCGTGGCCCAGTCACGGTCCGATACGTCATATGACGTCAGCGATAACGCAACAGCGACATACTGTGCATCCATATCCGCGCCGCTTCCCGCGTATGGTCGACAATGGACTGCGTGAATAAAAAATGGCGGGTCTGGACCTCCGGCTGCTCTCCGTGTAAATGACAAAATTTACCGAGCCATTAAAGCATTTTCATTCTGGCAAGGCACAGCATAAAGGACCAAACGCGTAAACAAAAACCGCGTAAATGCAGACTATACTGTAGTGGAATTGGTAAAATATAAAAAGTTGTAGATATGATGAATTAGTGGTGTGATTTAGAAAGGAGTGAAGGGCAGATATTCATCCTCTTCTTTTTATAGAAATTTTGGTTTTAGAGATTTATTTACTTTCTTTGGTGTGGCTTTGTAAACTATCAGTGGAGACAACACAATTTGATTCCATTTCCTGCTACAAGTAACCTTAGTAACCACAACACAAGGCTGGCTAGCCAAATATTGTAGAATAGATGTTGGTTTCAAAAAAGTTTTGAGGGTGAGCATAATTTTGCAGTTCATTTCAGCCAGATACCATTTAAAGTTTTTTAGGAATGTATTTAGCAATGGAAATTTTAAGGGAAGTTACTCCAAAACAATTTTATTTTAGAACATTCAATCAAAAGTTTTAGTAATATATATTCCTTATTTTTGATATTGAGGCTCTGGCTCCACTGGGAATTTAATATGCAATTCTAATGAGTTCAGATTTATTTGTTTGTTGCAGTTGGTACAGTAGCACCATATACAGTAGCTCTTCTTGGTTTCATCTTATTTTGAAAATTTTAATTCTACATACAGTACCATATGTCATTGGCTGAACACACACACACGCATATAGAGTACAGGGAGTTCTGCTATAACGCATATTTTGACAACGCGAATTGGCTCTAACGCGATTGATGAATAGAGGAACAATATTTGTAAAACGCGAACGCGTTTGCTCTAACGCGATTCCACTCGAACGGTTGTTGTGGCTTGGCGCGGGGTTATGCAGTGTTTACAGTTCACATTCGACATCACATGTTCAATTGATTTATGTGTTTTGCTTGTGAACAATTGCAGAAATAATTTACCGTATATCTCGGCCTATAAGAAGGAATTTGAACCATAAAAAAATTAGCCCAAAATTAGGGGGTCGTCTTAAGCACTAGATATAAAATTCTTACCTCTTAAATATTGCGGTTTAGCGTGTCAAGAGTGGTGATGGAAACATCGTAAACCACTCAAGGTCCTACCACTAATTATTTTATACTGAAACTTACGTATGGGAAGCTGGATTAAAATGAAGATTACCGGTATATTAAAATAATAAAAATGTATTATAAACCTGTCTAACATACCGTAAAAGAACAATATACCCCGGTAATAAACACAGCTGCTATCATCACCCCCCCCTTGCCAGTGACGGGAAAGTGACCTTGACTGTGACCGCCTGTGGCTATTTTTAGCCGTCCTTGTGTTCGGAGGTGGTCAGTAATGCATATCTGTATATTTACTGATCATAATACTTATCTCCTATAAATAATTCATTTAAAATTTATTTTTTTATAAAGAATATTCAGTAAATGACTGCGTTAATTCTTGAAACTACCGACAGTGGTAAATTTAGGATATAGGTAAATGATGAACAGAAGTCACGTCATGGATTCGGAGTTTGGTTCTTAATGATCACCATAAATGTCTGGTCAACTTCACCTACCAGATATAATGGTAGCCTCCATTTTTCGCGAAACACGTATATAAATTAAAGAAAATACTTGCAGTGTGTTTAATATATTACAGTATATTATAAATAAATAAATAAACAAATAAATCGGCAAATCTATTTCAAGTAAAGGGAAATATTTTACTCACACCGACATTAGTTCCCGTTAAACAACTGACGCTTAAGTGAGTCACTAGTGTACACCAGCCGGTAAAATTTGATGCCAATACTTTAAGTGAATTGACCTTATTTTAAATAACCAACCATAAATAAATGCAAAATGGAAAAAAGATCAAAGGTGAGAAAAATTATATTGTATGTATGTTGTGTTGTCAAAGGAAGAGAAACAATTGAAAATCTGCAATTGTGTGTAAATGAGGCAGAAAGATAGATCAGCAACCTAAGACTTGGTCACAATTTTCGTGATGCCATATGGAAGTAGGATCTACCATTAGACAATACTGTACATTATGCTTCCAATATC